CCTGCTGTCAGCCATGTTGAAAGCAAGATGGAAAAAGAAAGGCCTGCCTCTCACATCCAGGAGCAATGGAAATGCAAGTTTCTTTCCCAGGAGCCTCAGCAAAAATTGAGGTTTACTTTATTGCCATTCTATTATCTAATTGGGTCACATGCCTGTGCCTGAAGCAGTTACTGAGGCCAATCACTGCTCTACTCAGAGTATGTGGGTGGAGGGGGTACACTGTCCTCTTCACCAAATACAATGAAAGCCGGGCATGGTGGCTCATGCCTGTAGCCACAGCTACTTAGGAGGCTGAGACAGAAGGATAGTGAGTTCAAGGCTAGACAGGGTACCTAGTGAGACCCTGTCTCAGAAAATAAAAGTAAAAACAAAAACCTGCCAGTGAGACTGGAAAAGGGGTTTGTCCCCTAAGGAGGACATTGGGTTATGGCACCAGGTGGGTGAATGACCCCCTAGGTGATAAGAAGAGGTAGTCTTATCCAAAGGAAATCGGTGGTCAAAGAGGTCAATACTTTTAATGCACCTTCAAGTCCTTTAAAAATATAATAGGGCTGGGGTTGTGACTCAGTGATAGAGCACTTGCTTAGCATGTCTGAGGTACTGGGTTCAATCTCAGCACCACATAAAATAATTAAACAAAATAAAGGTATTGTGTCCATCTACAACTAAAAAAACATGAAAAAAAATATATATATATACACAAATATATAGTTATTGTGCTAGTTTTAAATCCCTACAGGCTTCCAATAGGCAATATGCTATGAACCCCTTTGGTATAGCTAGTACTTACTTGAGAATAGTAAAACTGAATATTTAAGCCAGTCTGCAATCTATGCTTCCAGTAATTCAAACTGGCCTTGTCTCCTTCTTGCCCCCTCTAGTGGGCATTTGACTGACCTGACCAATGTCATCAAGGCTGGCTGGAAGGGCAAGGCAGCACCAGTTTTGACTGGAGTCCACCTTCGGCAAGATGGAGATGGAGCAAAGTTTGGCTCCTGTGGATCCATGTTCTGATATGATCAAATCTCCTTTGACTTGAACCTCTTTCACCACCATCCTCCAACTCATTACTAAAACCTGTTCTTAGGAAAGGTTATTATCAGACATTTACATGGATGTATGAATAAGCACCAAATCAATAGTTTAACCTTTGGACTGTTCTTACTTTAAATGGAACACAAGGCTCTGTCCTGCCCACCTCACTAGCCTAAAAGGTACTTCTGGAGAAAGAGAAGTTGGGAACTCCCTGAAATCAAGCAACAACTTTTGCTAAACACTCACTCATCCCACTGCCTTACCAATGCATTTTTATCTTCACATCTAACTTCAATCTCCTTTTGCCAATATTCAGCCATGACTCTGCTATTGCAAGGAAATTTCTTTCATCCTTTTGTCCATTTATTCATTCAACAAACTTTTCTTGGGCCCCCACCATATATGAGGTACACGGATATACAAAGCTGACCTAGACCTTGCCCTCAAGAAATTTGCAGTTGAATTTCAATGCAGGAAACATCAACTTCACTACCAGATTTTTAACAAGCAAAGCACAGTCCAGTGACAGGTATAAAGTGTTCAGTAAATGCCGCTTCCCCTCCAGTATACAGACACTGTAGCAGAACACTGGAAATTTTCGAAAAACCCGTTCCAGGCGGACAAGGGCGCCAGAAAAGTGGGTGGGGATGGTGGTTTCTATCTTGCTTCAGAATGTTGGGATTTGTTTTGGATGTTCCAAATGTCAGGTTGGAGATGCATGCAAAGGAGAGGGGCTTATTCTAACCAGATCAGAGGTAGAGGCAGCCCAGGACACTGTCTCCATGGTGCAAAACCTCAGACAGTTTGGAAACAAACAAACCCATCCAGAGCGGGGAGACCGACAAAGGCAAAAACAAACAAAGACCAAGAAATGGAAAACTCAGGAGGTGGGGCATGAAGAGAGGAGAGGAGTGTGGAGAGAAGTGCGGGGTGCAGTGGAGGGGCTTAAGGAGGGGCCTGGTCCTCAATCCAGCCCTGGAGCCTAAGAATCTCCATGGCAACAGGAAGGGTGAGTGCGGAGGACTCCATGCCAACATAAACCTCCTGCGCTTGGCGGATGGGCTCAGATGGGATGGGACCATGTTCTAAAGAAAAATATCTGAATCAGGCTCTTTAAATCGCAAACTCCCCACCTTCTCCTGACTTTGTAGGCAATCAATATTTAATGAAATGAATTAATCAGAAACAACATTGAATCATATCCCTTATGCCATCTCTATCCCATCTACATATGTATGCTTATCCAAAACACCACAGTGAGACCCTTTCCTTTTGTAGTGGAAACTGACAGTTCACAGGATCCCTGAGCCTGGACCTGTAAGAGGCCCCCTAGCCACTTCTCCCAAAGCTATACCACCTGACAATGGCTTTAGTGACAGAGGGTTGAAGGAGTTGGTTTTCACAAATCCAAGGAAACTGGGGCCCCAAAGTGATGTGGCTCCAATTGTACTACCATCTGGTCTCCCCTGCCACCAGCTGACTGGTGAAGCTGCTGACCCAGTGGGTACTTCAACCCCTCCACAGAGAGGGGAAGTGGTGCCTGCCACACGAGCCTAGGCTCCCAAATCCCAGCACCTCAAATTTGCCATTTCCTAGAATTGCTTGGCCTTGGATCTGTCTTCAATTTAAGGTAGAGCTGAGTGTCTCATTTAGGGTTTGTCTCTCTCCTATCTGCCCATTCCCAGGTGCCCAAGGTCTCACACTATTCCCCATTACATTGTCTAGGACCGACTCATCCATTAGACAAGGTATGCACTGTGCCTAAGGCCCACGTTACAAAAATGTTTTAATTATTTTAAGATCAGAAGGAAAGCTTTCTGCATTTACAAATGAAATTGTACAATGTAATTTTTAAATACTTTTTTAAAAATTTTAAGTTGTAGATAAACACAATATCTTTATTTTATTTATTATTATTTTTTAATGTGGTGCTAAGGCTCAAACCCAGGGCCTCACGTGGGTAAGGCAAGCACTCTATCACTGAGCCACAACCCCAGCCCTTTAAATACTTTTTGAAAGAGGAAGTGGAAAACAAAAGGCAAAAGTGCCCAGGGTCCACAGAAGTCATAAAGCAGCTCTGCCTTAGCATTCCTTCCTGCTCACTCCAACCCTCTGGACTCTAGGAATTCTATCCCCCACATCAAAATACACCCATCTGAAGACCTGGAGCTTCTGGAGGGTAAGATCACTTTTTATTTATCTTCATGTCCCCATAATCACATCAGGTATGGCATTAGCATCTTTTCAATCTTTTTTTTGGTGGTGGTGGGGAGGTAGAGAAAAAAAATAAAGAGTTAGGTTTGGAATAAATATTGCCAGAATGAATGAGATCCACTCCTCCTCCCTGCTCTCCAGCAGTGAGCTAATGTGACAGCAGATTCAAGCCAAAGCAGGGGTTCCTAATCTGCGATGTATGGCCAGGTCTTGAGGAACTAAGAACTCCTGGAAACTATGCATGAAACTCCACGTCTATGAAGTTTTCATCCATATTCCCTACAGGAACTCCACTGCAACCACTCCTGCCGAGTTAGCCAATCGTCTCTTACACAGTGAATCCCAAAGAAACTCCTCAGGTACAATCCTATTTCTCCACAGCATTTGGCACTGATCATCCAGCTTTTTTTTTTTTTTAATATCTATTTTTTCAGTTGTACACAATACTTTTATTTATTTATTTATATGTGGTGCTGAGGATCGAAGCTAGGGCCTTGCACATGCTAGGCAAGCGTTCTATTGCTGAGCCACAACACCAGCACCCCCAATTTTTTTTTTTTTTTTTTTTTTTTTGCGTGTGTGCTTGGGATTGATCCCAGGGCCTTGGTGCATGCTAGGCAAGCACTCTACCAACTGAGCCACATCCCCAGCCTCCAGCCCTCTTTTCTGATCTATGACACCTTGCTGTCTTGACTTCCTCCTGTTTTCTCTGGGCACTCCTGTTCTGCTCCTTTGCAGGCTCTCTGCTCTGTTAGACCATTAAAAAAATAAAAATAATAACAGCAGCAGTAGCCAATAGATATCAGCTATTTTTCTGTGCTGGCCCTATCCTTTCAGTTCTTTTAACCCTCAAAATAATCCTGAATCCATTCTCCAACTACCAGCTTATAACGTTCCTAAAAACAAAATCTCGTTTGCCTTGGTTAAAACCTCCTAATGGCTTTCCCTGGCCTGTAGTTCTTAGGTCTTTCAAGACTTGCCCCTACCCCACTCTCCAGCCCAATTTCTCACCCCCTTCTTTTTCTTCACTCTAGGACACAGCTAGGAAAGAGGCTGTGTGTCCTGACCAAAGGGTGCTTTAGGTTCAGAAATTTCCCCTCTTCTCAGCTCACAACCCTCTACTTTTAGCTTCTCTAAGAACCGTAGGTCTTCACTTGTGCTCTTCTCACTGCATTAAACACTCCTCCTCCCTTAGTCCAAACTGACACTAGTTGTGAGATGGACATTGACATCAGTCTGCCAGGTTTAACTCCCAGCTTGACCACTTCTCAGCCTTCTAACCTTGGGCAAACTCTCTGAGTCTTTAGTGCCTTGTCTCTTGATACAGCCTGCTGTGAAGACTAACGAGATCAGTACATGTAAGGTGTGGTGCTACACGTATCAACCCCATGCTTCCTGATCCCAGACCATATTAGGGCTCCTTACCAAGTGCTTCCCAAAAACTCTTATAAAATCACATAATGCCAACCTCACTCCCAAAACATCCGTCCATCTGCCCACCTTGCCAGACTGTCAGCTCCATGAGGGCAGGGGAATTTTTGATCCTGCTTGTATTCCTAGTGCCTGGTACACTGTAGGTGCTCTTATTTTGGGGTCAATGACAACAAACCCCACCTACTAGATATCCTGGTGATACACGCTCTCCAGCAAATGGTCACCTTGAACAAGGAAAGAGAGGATAAGATTTTTAACAACAGGGCATACACAGCCGACTCAGGCTCAGGCTGAAAGCAGCCACAAAGACAACTTAGTAATTAGGAAAATATCTTTATTATTTTTGAAATGTTTCAATATTCAATGTAAAAACCATGACAATGGCTTTTTCACAACTTTATAAATTGTAGAAAAATGATTCTTCCCCATCTTTACAGCAATCTCACCCCCAAATTGGACAGGGCTCCATGACAGCTGAAACTCAGCAGGACAAAGGGAAAGGACAATAGGACCAAGTCGGGCTGCGGTTGTCCTGGCGGCCGAGGCTCTTCCTACACTTTAAAGCCCTGGCTGAGTCCCAAAGACAGTGACCCTCTGAAGGAGGCTCAAATCATGTGGATTTGTGACATGCTAAGTAGGCCTCTGTTTCCAAGGCCAGCAGCCCACCGACGGCCTGCAATGTGGCACTTGAGGCTGGCAGGCCACAATCAAGGCAGCTTTGTGAGAATAAGAACAGGAGCAAGCCTGAGGCTCAGATCCTTCACTCTAGGACACAGCTAGGAAAGAGGCTGTGTGTCCTGACCAAAGGGTGCTTTAGGTTCAGAAATTTCCCCTCTTCTCAGCTCACAAAGACTACTTTGTCAAATAGCTATTTTAAAAAGTCAGAAAACAAACATTTGGTTCCATTTCAGCTATAAGCAACAGTTGGTAATTTTTAGAAATAGATGTCTTGAGTTGCTCAGGTTAAGTCTGAAATTTTTAAAAAATCAGGGCCCTGACTCTTTCCTTTTTCTTCCATGGTTTGTGGGGAGGGAGGTACAGCTATAGCAGAAGGCTGACTGTTGATTTGAGAAAACTGTTAAAATGTTTTGCACTCACATACAAGAACTGATGGAATCCAAAAACCATCCCACTGATTTTTATGAGAAACATGACTATCCCTCTTGGGTGTCTCAAGCCAAAATAAGGCAACCGCCTAGTGATTTATAGTCCCCACTACACATGTTCCGCCTTCCAGAAGGCATGAGAGAAAGGGCCAACCTCCGCCAGTAATGATTGTAAACATACCACTGACAGCTTGGACACTTTGTTTTTAAATGCAGCAGGACTTTTTCCTTTGGCCCTGGCTGAAGAGCCAACTCCCTAGGTCTGTTCAGGAAGGAGCAGATGGGAGGGCTCCCTGAAAACTGTGAGTGAGGATCCAGGCGTCCCAACAGACTGGAGTGTGGCTGGGAGCATCATCAAAGGCAATCAGTACATTTATGGCATTTTAAAAATTGTCCTGTGACCCTCAACTAGTCCCCAGGCTTGACCTGGCCGGACATGAGGCACAGGAGGTAGGAAACAAGCTATTTTAAGGCACATGGTTGAGGTGGTCCCCACACCAGAACCAGAAAGATTATCTTTTAACGCGATTCCAAAAGTGTTGGAAAGCAGAGGAGTTGATGACACTCACTATGAGCAGCAGCAGCAGATACAGGAACATCATGACCATGAACCAATGGCTGGAAAACCAGGAGAGCTGGCTCGAAGTCCTGCTGAAGGGGAAAAGAGTGATGTTGGCAACAGGAAGGAAAAAAAAACATTTTTAAAAAAGTGTATGCAACAAGTTCTGGCTCAAAGAAGATGAAATGATGAATTTTATCCTCTGCATAGTTATGAAGTGAAGCTTCAGGATACTTTGCCCAAGAAATCTGGGGCTGTCTGCTCTGGCACCAACATGCCTTTCAACAGAACATTTTCTAAATGTACAAAGACAGCTATGCAGTGAGCTCACCCTGATCTTCCCTTTGTATGTCCTCTTTTTTACCTTTTATAACCCATCTTTTCTTAAGCAAGACTTTGGTATCTGTAAGAATGACCTAGCTCAGGGTATCTGCCCAGATGGTGGCAGGCCACTTAGCAAAAGTCTTTTTCCTTTTAGACACATACAGATATAATTCCGAGCTGGGAAATCCTCTTTGGCCCACTAGGAGGTGTTCTAAACCATCCAAGTGTTCACTTAAGATATACTCCAGGAATAGTGGGAAAAGGAATGGATTTTTTTTTTTTTTTTTTTTTTGGCATATTGGGGATTAAACCTAGGGTGCTTTACTACTGAACTCCATTCCCATTCCTTTTTATTTTTAATTTTTTTTACTTTGAGACAGGGTCTTATCAAGTTGCTGCAGCTGGTCCCAAACTTACAATCCTCCTGCCTTACCCTCCTAAATGAGCAGAATTATAGGCATGGGCCAAATGGAATATTAAATAGAAGTCAGATGTTTCTTTAAAACCAAAGAATATTGTTCTAAGACTTAGAAACCTTATATAGATTACCCAAATTTAGGTGGAGGCTGGATTTTACTTGCATATAAATTCTGGAATCATGGAAAGCACTGGTATGCATAAGAAGCAGGACTTTAAAAATGACCCCTTTTCCTGTCAAACTAGTGCACCTGCTGCTGATATGCATGGGAAGCTCTACCATGGGCTCCAACAACATGCAAGGTCTCTAAGTGACCCCCAACCCTTAGAACCCTACAGATCCTCCCACCACCACACTACTGAAATGGGACTAGGCATTCACCATAGTTCTTCAGAGCCAAAGGTCCTTATTTTTATTGTACTGGGGATTGAACTCAGAGGCGCTTAACCACTGAACCCCATCCCCAGTCCTTTTTTATATTTTGAGACAGGATCTCACTGAGTTGCTTAGGGCCTCGATAAGTTGCTGAGACTAGCTTTCAACTTGTGATCCTCCTGCCTCAGCCTCCTGAGTTGCTGGGATTATAGGCACACACCACCATGTCCAGCTAAGGGTTCATTTATTCTTTGAATGGTTAGGGATAGTGCGTGTTAGTCAAGTGCTCTCCCACTGAGCCCCACCCCCAGCTTCAACACCTCATTTTGGAGATAAGGATAAAGCATCTCAGATCCATGGAGGGGCAGGCAGAGGGTCAACAACCATGGGGAAAAGTGACTGAGCTAGGCTGCACAGCTTCAGCCAGTAACCCCTTGCTGCCCTGCCTCTCAGCTTAAATCAGTGGGTTTCAGACCACAATTATGGGCCTTGTGGCTAAGGGGTCACAAATTTGGCTTCATTCCATCCCTCATAGAAAGACCTATGTTTACAAATCTTCCTATCTTCTTCACTAGAACACATGCACCCTATTGCGTCAGGACCATATCTCCTCTGACTCGTATGCCCTCCTCACCATTTCTAGCTTAGTACTTTATGTATTTTACACAAAGTGGAGGCCTAAGGCTGAAGGAAAGCAGCCCTGGTAAAGGTGAAACAATCCTCTGAATACAGCCTTTAGTTGGCCTCCTATCCTTCACCTAGGGACCACGCTTCTTACCTCTTGGGCTGCTTCTGTGAATACACCAGAAGGTACTTCACTCGCAGGAGCTGGTTATTGGTGACCACAAAGTACTTAGGAGGGATGTCGCCCCCTTCGCTATGTTTGATTCTTGCTCTTCTTCTGTCTATCTCCTTGGAATCTGAATAAGGCAAGTAAAGTACAGTTTCACTGGAGCGGGGCAGGAGGGCAATTTACAATTAACTAAAGAAGCAAAGAAGAAATAGAAAGGAGTCAAATCTCCCTATCCTGAGGCAGCAAGCCCTGGCGCGCTGAGGTATGAGCCTGTATGTATATGTGAAACGGCACTGAACCAGAGAATCTGGCAGGCAGGCAGGTGGTCAAATGGGGGGAAGAGAAAAGGAATAGAAAAATATAAGATACAAGGAAGAAAAAATGCAGCTGAGTGGAAAAGCAGAGGGAAGCAGCAAATTAATAGCCACACCAAAAAAAAAAAAAAATTACTCTAGGCTGGGCAGAGGTCTTGATCTGAAACAAGGCTCTTAGTGGGTATTTTTAATAAACCATGCTAGATTTGAGCTTCTTGGAATACTTTATTCCACCCTTCCTACCAAGACTATTTTAAAACTTTTTCCTTTAACCACATGAAAAGGTTTTATCAAAAAAAAAAAAAAAAAAAAAAAAAACCAAAAGAACAAAAACAGGGCCAAACTGTGTGTCAGCAGAGGCTGCAAAGTTTTATTTTGATGTTTAATGTCACCATTTGCAAACTTCCTAAGAATTACAAATGCAAACATTCGTGCCCTCTGATTTGGGAGGGTAGTGTAGGACCTGGGCCTACTCCTCAGGATTCCAGTTGTTTTATATTAGAGGCCAGAACAGCCAGTTTTCTGAATTCTCCTCTTCTTAGTAAAACTGGCAGGCCAGTTGTGGAGACTGGACTGACAGTTCTATGACTCTTCTGCCTTGGAGGAAGAGAACACAGCAGGGGGCACAGGGCATGCAGTTTGAGGGACACATCAGGGCAGTGAAGATGAGGCAGCCAGCTAGTCATCTGCTTCCTGGAGAACCCAGGACTTGCTCCCTGTGGCCTCAGTTGCCCCTCACACCCTCTGGGGCTCCAGCACACACCAGGGTAGATCAGAGGACCTGGACCCAATGTTGTTAGCTCTAGTTTAGCTCATATTTGTTGAACGTCAAGTATATACCAGACTCTCTGCTGACACCAGATGCCCAAGAATAAATAAGACCTAGTTCAATTCTTAGGGAGCCCGTATTCTCACCTTACATTCAGTTCTTTGTCAGATCTTGCCTCCTTCCCAAAGCTTTCCCTGGCCACTTGGACCTGCAATGATTGCTCCTTTCTCTGAGTTGCCTTATCAGTCCCCTCATCTGGCCCTCCCTACCTCCAACCTGTGGTAAGTGATCTTTTCCAATGTGTGTTCAAAACCTAAGAAGGTTTTTCCCTCCTAGAAGGCAGGCCCCCTGCATTGTTCCAGACCCAGCCCATCCCCCTTAGCATGCGATCGGTACTCTACCCAACAGCTGGGCCAACAAGAAGAGCCTATTACCCCAACAGAGGCCTGCAGCCAGGTCTGGACCACATGCTCACTCACCCTTCTTTTTGGTTTGGCACTTGACATCTGGATGGTCAATGACCTCACACACGGCCACACAGCTAAGGATGGGGCCAAGGAGGCTGTGCTGCCACCCATGGCCATGGGGGCTGTAAATGAGGGCCAGGCTCAAGTCACTTGTGAGGTAGGTCCCCTCTCCAAACAAGGATGTCTGGAATGGTAGAGAAATACAAAAAAGAAATACACACTGGTGAATGTAGAGTTGGCACAGCAACAGGGCATTGGTCTTTCTTCAATAGAGTTGTAAACACAAGATTTTTTAACCTGTGACATCTCCATAGGGTATATTACTAAACACATTTCCACCTGACCACAGTTTTACTGATTGTGGATTTTGGTCACCTAGCCTGGGAAACTAGCAGTTCCTTGAAGTTAAGGTCCAAACAGAACTTGGTTTAAATCCTCCAACAAGCTGGCAAGTTATATAAACTCTCTGTGCCTCAGTTTCTATGTTCATAGATGGTGATAATAGTGCCTCCTTCATAAGGTAATAGGTGATTATTAAATGATATAACATATAGCAAACATGGAGCAGAACAGCTGGCACATGGGAAATGGTGGTGATAATGTGAGGAGGGTACTCTATCACAGACTCTTCTATTACAGTGGGTATAGTGATTCCTGTTACATGACTGCATAAACACGGTTACACTGCTGGACTTGCAAAGCCAAGTCATACCCTTATGTGCAGGAGGAAGTCACACCTGAGGGAGAGGCTAATCTGAGTCACTACTTGGAAAAGAAACAAGTCTCTCAGAACTGAGGGAAGAAATGAGGGAAGTAAACATGAAGGGCAGAGTAAGTTTTACTCTTTTGTGTTGGTGTTAACTAAGAAAATTGTGTCCAAGAGTCTAGGAGGCAGCTCCCTGGCAGTGGGTGCTAACTTGTACCCTCCATAAGGAAGCACAGCAGGCAAGACTCCTGCAAGTGAAGATACAAATCCTTTGCCTCTGGTAGACATCACTAATCGATCACGATGGCCGATATAACAATATCCATCATGGCACTTATTCATACTACTCAGGATCCTTCTCATAATATTCCAGGTAGCTGTGGACCAAAGGATGGCCTTTGTTATTCGAACTGAAACTCCACTGCCATCCATGAGCCACAGTAGGATATCTTAAGATGATGAGTGGACGTGAAGAGCTCACTCATGTCTATCCTATGCTCTGGAATTCAGAAATATCCTATTCAGTTGCACCAGGCTGCCACTTTCTAAGCCTGGTAAATGAAGCGTAGGGGAAATGAAACCTTGGTACAGCCTTTGGGAGCTCCTTGTCATATTAGGCAGTGTCCCCCATGTCTCAAAAGCTGACATGGATCTTCTCCAGGGACACTGGACACCCTCTGATCTGACCCCACATCAGTTCTCTATTTACATCTGCCACGTGTTTGCCCTTCTCAAGACCTGAAAATCTTGTGAAAGGTGGTTAGGAGTAGAGGTGCATGAGAGTGAGAAGCTTGCGGTTTCTCTGCCATGAAAATAAGCCTCATCTGGCACATGGGCTTCTTCAAGCAAGTTCCTTGCTAAAAATCCAAGTAGAGGGGACCAAAGGGGATTCAGTTTACCAAAGGACTCTTTTAAGACACCTCTAAACAGCAAACTCCCTAAGGATACTGAAATGAAAGTTGGGTATAAAGACTACGACCTGCAGGCAGCTTCTCCAGGCTGGCCCCAGTGTAAAGCCGAGGCCTTAGATTCCAGTAGCCTGGCCATAATAATAAACCAAGAGCCAGTGTAAACAAACCCGTCATCTTCAGAAAAACCTAACAGCACTAATCAGATGCAGCAGGGCTGGGAAATATCTTCACAGCCTCGGGGCTGCATCAGCCCCAAATGAGCCCAACCTCATGGAGCCGGCTCCTCAAAGACAAGGCAGATGCTGCCACAATGGGGAGGAGCCCACACCCTCCAACCACCCCAGATGCCCTCTCCAATAACCTATAAAAACAGCTACTGCTTCCTTGGCACAAAGTACATGTAGAAGCCTTTGTATAATAAACTCTTTAATTCTCTCCTGTGCCACAAGGAGAGTAACAGAGGTCAGTTCTAGGGGAAACTGAGGCTCAGAAAGCTTAAGTCAATTTGCCCAGGGACACAGAGCTGTCAAGTCTGTTCAGCTCCAGGGCCTGTCTGTAACCTTCTTCCTACACCTTAGTGAGGGGTAAAATAAGTGCCAGCAGAGAAGGGGTAGTTGACACTGTTTTAACTCCTAAAAATGGGAGGAAAGCAGCTTGAAGAGAGAGGGAAAGGACCTCTCTTGGCACATTGTGGCATACCCCTCATTTATTCCCAGGGCTGACACTATTAAAGTGTCCCCTAGGAATACACTTCTCAAACTTCAGTGTCTTATCAATCACCTGGGGATCTTTTTAAAGCATAGATTCTAATCAAGTAGGCTGAGGTGAGTCCAAGACTCCATATTTCCAATAGGCTCCCAGGTAATGCAGATGCTGTCTGTGGGGGCGTCACATTGAGTAGCTAGGGCTGGTCACAGGCTAGGATCACTGGAGGGTTTTTAAAGTATACAGACAGCTGGCAAAATGGTGCATGCCTATAATCCCAGTGGCTCAGGAGGCTGAGGCAGGAGGATTTTGAGTTCAAAGCCAGCCTCAGCAAAAGTGAGGCACTAAGCAACTCAGTGAGACCCTGTCTCTAAATATAAACACAAAATAAGGGTGGGGATGTGGCTCAGTGTTCAAGTGCCCCTGAGTTCAAACCCCAGTACCCAAAAATCAATTAATTAATTAATTAAAATAAATAAAAAGAACGGGGAATGTAACTTAGTGATAGTGTCCCTAGGTTCAATCCCCAGTCCAAAAAATAGATAATAAATTATGCTGATGTTTAGGTCCCACTCCCAGAACCTGATTTAATTGGTCTGGGATGCAGCCATGCATTGGAAATTTTTTTTTTTTTTAACTTTTTCTGATCTCTGTTCCTTTTTTTTTTTTTTCAAAGAGATAGAGAGAGAATTTTTTAATATTTATTTTTTAGTTTTCGGCAGACACAACATCTTTGTTTGTATGTGGTGCTGAGGATCGAACCCAGGCCGCACGCATGCCAGGCGAGTGCACTAACGCTTGAGCCACATCCCCAGCCCCCATTGGGAATTTTTAAAGCTCCAAATGATATAGATATGCAGCCAAGGCTGAGAGCCATGGAGGCTTTTCAAACTGTAATCAGCATAGGAATCAGGTGGGCTAAGGGTGAATCCAAGATTCTGTATTTTCTCAGGCTCCCAGGTGATGCCATGAATACTGGTCTGCAGCCCACACTCTGGGTATCAAGGCCTTAGTAAACCTATCCATCTCCACACCACTCTCCCCCAACAAACCCCCAGAGTTCTGGCACACATCCCCATGCTCCCCCATGTCAGAGGGTACCCCTTGGGCCCACCTTGTTCAGATGGCAGTGCAGGCCATTGTGGATGATGGAATGGAAGTTCTCTAGGCGGCTACCATGGAAGGCGTAGATTAGGTCTCGTTCTCCTTTGGTCTCATAAAATTTGGCGTTGGCTGGGTCAAAGTATTCAATTTCAAATAGGAAGTCTGGGGCAGGGACAGGCGTGTGAGGGGCACCAGTCAGCCGCTGGATCTTTTCAAACTTGAAAACATGAAGAGAGTCACAATTTTATTTAGGAAGCTGGTAAAATGTGCTGCAAAAATGGGCCAGGCAAGTGGCACACACCTGTAATCCCAGCAATTTAGGAGGCTAAGGCAGGAGAATCTAAAGTTTGAGGCCAGCCTCAGCAACTTAGTGAGACCCTGTCACAAAACAAAAACTAAAGAGGGATGAGGATATATCTCAGTGGTAAAATGCCCCTGGATTCAATCCCCAGTCCCCTCACCCTCCACCAAAACTTGTGCTGTAAAAACGGCCTCCTAAAACCTGGAGCTTGACCCCTATGAGCTCCTATATCATGAGGACAGAGACATTAATTTATAAGCAAGCTCAGAGCTCACAGCTCAATGCTTGCTTTCCTCTGATAATATTTTTCCCTATCATAGGCTGAGAAGCACAAACTGCTCCTTCTAACCAGAGAACATTCTAATGTCTCTAACTTATTCCATCTATATCCTCTGTTCATCTTTACAATATCTCATGAGCTAGAAAGGAGAGATAAATTGCAAAAATAGCCACAAATTTTTCCTTTTACCCTTGTCTGTACACCCCTTTGCAATGTGACTTTGTAAACATGGAATCTGCTTCTCCACCCCTTGGATCTGGGCATGGCCACATGATTTGCTTTGGCAATGGGACCATAATATACATATGTCAAATTTAAAGGGCTTGACCCCCTTTGTTTGCTACTGGAGACCCTTCCGTCTAGTTCAGGCTGGACTCCTGTGGGGTCAGAGCCTCACATAGAAAGGCCCCACCACTGCAGTCAACCTAGCTAAAGCCCCAGAAATATAAGCAAGGTTACCCTAGGCCAACCAGCTCCAGTCAAGCCCATCCTACTCAAAAGAACCTGTTATGGTTTGGATGCGAGTTGTCCTTCAAAAGCTCATGTAAACTCTTCTGCCCTAAAAGTGTGCTGGTCAGGTCCTTTAGTCACAGCAGCAAAAAAACTAACTAAAATAGAATCCAACCAACCCACAGAATCATAAGAGACAATCAGTGTTTCTCATTTTATTGGTTAAAGCTGATAAATTTGGGGAATGGTTTGTTATTCAGCAAAAGCTAATTGATACAGAAAGGTAAGCTCTTTTCTCAAGGAGGATAATCCTTTCCAGGGTAGAGACTACAACCTATACTGGTTTTCAAATAGTAGACAACAGACGAAAGCCAATCTGTAGCAAAATTTTCCTGGGTTATCAATGATTGAGAAAAAGAAGGGAAATATAATGAATATATTTATAATGACGTAAAGTTGCCATGATCCTTCCTTTGGAAGAACTGTCCTTTCTTCTGAAATCAAGACCTTTGTAAGTAATTTAATACTTACAATACTTTAATACTTACCTTTTTATAAAATGATAATACTCAGTAGACTAACCTTACTCAGGAAAAATAAAAAGCTAATAATTCTGGGTTTTTAACACCCCACATTTTAATGGAAATTTAACTTGATTCATAATAATAAATTGAGAAACCACTGCCATATCTACTTTAGCTGCAGCACACAACCTTTAGTAGGTGCTTGATGCCCATACAAGGTGTGAATAAACAAATGTACCTCTCAGTTCAACAGATGACAAGAGTGAAACCCAGGAATTAGCAGCCCAACCTGGCCCTGAATGTGATCTCCTGACTCCCTCTCCAGGGTTCTTTGTTATTTTACCATTCAATACAGATGGATGTCCCTTAAATGCCAGAACCCAAGGTACCAAATTCTATGTCAGTTAGGGAAGTTTGTAAAATGGAATGCTCTCAAATTGAAATTGATTAATTATGTGAATAACAGTACAGATAACCAGTGCTGCCCCTCAGAGGAAACAACACCAGGTCAGGAATCAGGTTTTACACTCTGGAACTTATCATTCCAGCCGGTCCCCGGGAGACTCCAATCAGGCAAAGAAAACCAAATGATAGAATGTCTGACCTGTGCCAGAAACTGTGCTGTGGGGTAACAGACTTTGGGTCATTGCCCTGCTTTGAGGTAACTATTAAATTCTCACCTTGCAAATGGGGGAAAGGAGATTCAGTAATTGAAGTAGGACTAGAGTCCAAAAATGACATTTTCCACTACTTGTGGCCTGTTTCCTGACAACTGGACTAAACCCATGTTTCTTAAGGTGTGATCAGGGTCCATCCTTATCAGAATCACCTGCAGTGCTTGTTAAATAGAGTCATACCCAACATTCACTGAGTCCTTAGTATTTTTAGGCACTGCTCTTAAGTGTAAAAATCCATTTACATGGTCAGTTTCCTGGTGGAATTATGCAATTATTACACCTATTTTACAGGTGAATAAATGAAAGTGCTGAAATGCACCCAGCAACCTACTCAAGATCATAGAGATAGTATAAGGCAGAATCCAGCTGTGAACTGCCACTGTTACAGAGTTCCTGGGCCCAATGCCAGATACCACAGAATCACAATCTCTAGGGTGAAGTCCAGGAATCTGCATTTTTTTACCCGCCCCCAATTTATTCAGTAAAAGGACAAGGCACGAAATCTGCATTTTCAACAAGCTGCCCAGGCCATTCTGGGGCCCAGAGATGTCCCAAAGTCACTGGATTCATGCTATCCCACAACCTTCAGCCCTAGGAATCTGTGATCCTTCAGACCAAAGCCTCACCTCTGCCTTCCCTGCACTGTGGATTGTCAGGACCTTTGAGGATAAAATCCAGCTCACCAGGTCCCAGGCCCATTCGTCTTCGTCTTCAGAGGATTGCAGAAGTTCCTTGAGGTTGGGTAACTTGCTGGCATCTGCAAGCTGAAGTAAAGGAAATGTCCATTAGTAAGGATGCTGGACAAAATGATAATCAGGGGCCCTCTAGTGGTAAGACTGGCCCAATTTACTCATTCCATATCAAGGAATTTCCTGAAAGCCAGGGAAATTCACAGGCCTACCATTCCTTTTCTAAAGAATACCAAACTCTGAAAGCTCTGAACTCTAAAAGTTTTTTTTTTCTTCCTTCCTTCCTTTTTTTTTTTTTTTTTTTTTGTGTGTGTGTGAAACCAGAGGCACTCTACCACTAAGCTACATCCCAGCCCTTTTTAATTTTGAGACAGGGTCTCATCTTGCTAAGTTGCCCAGGCTGGCCTTGAATTTGCAATTATCCTGCCTCAGTCTCCAGAGTCACTAGGATTACAGGTATGTGCCACCAAGCCTACAAGGTTTTTTCAAAATACTCACTTGGTACAAATCCTGACCTGAGCTAATGTTAGGTGCTTGTGGTCTGGCCCTCTTCCTGTTCGTACCAGACACTCAGCCCAGCATCTCCTGTGGTCTTCCCCTTCCTTCTTTTCTGTTCCTGATCCACACCCGTTATCCCAGAATCACAGCTGAGTCAACTCAGCTGTCCGCTTTACTCCTGTTCCCAAATTCCATCTGTGAGCCACACCCCTTACCCATAGTGCAGACCTAGGCACAGGTGTGTAACAGTGGGCCCTTCACCTTCAGAATATAGCCCTCATTGCTCTAAGGCTTTTTTTTTTTTTTTGTCTCTTCTCTCCCCCCTCCCCCAACAAGATTAGGGAGACAATGTTATCTTTTCTTCCCCTAGTTAATTGCCGGTTCACACACTCACTACAGGAAGGAGATGCCTGCTGAGGATCAGGAAAGTGAGAATCTCCCAAATTAACAAGTGAATCCCATCATGTCATCAGGGCACCCTGGGACCCCTACCAGAGCACACCTGGAATATAACCCTTGAAGAGCTCTTTTAAAACCCCCCTGTCCCTCCTGATCAGGAGTCACAGCCTTTGGGACAGGAGTCCGGATGTTTCTTCTCCTTTGCTAGCAAAGCAATAAAAATTCTTTTTCCTATTTCTAAAACTGTGTTCTTATTATTAAGTTGGCATTGAAGACAGGAACCCTGTTACACAGGAAGCCCTACAAAAAGAATTCAACTAGCCAGGCCCCCTTCAGGAATTCAGTTCAGAAGTGGAAGACTTCTTTCCTCATAACTCCCCCTGATGGACCCAGGACTCTTCAGAGCTCCATTATGGGGCCAATCCTATATGAGCCCTCCTACTGCCACCTGTGTACTGCCCTCCTGGTCCCCAACTGGCCCACACTCTTTGACCCTTCATCTGACCTCCTTTCTGTTCCATTTCAATTGTCATGTTGCTCCAACAAGTCTAAGGACCTTTTAAAGACCAAACCACAAATAAGGTTGCCAGATAAAACACAGTCTGCCCAATTAAGTGTATGTTTCAGATTTTTTAAAAAATAATTTACCGTAATAGAATGGATCTCACTATGTTGCCTAGACTGGTATTGAACTCTTGGGCTCAAACAATCTTCCCACCTCAGCCTCCCAAGTAGCTGAGGTTATTGGCATGCACCACAATGCTACCTGCTAAAAACTTTTTAGTATAAATATAATTTACGCAATACTTGGATCATACTTATACTAAGAAAATTACTTGTTGCTCGAAATTAAAATTTAATTAAGTGGCCTATATTTTTATCTACTAAATAGTAACATATCCTTAATAAGGCCCTTGGGAATCTGGTCTGGCCTCTCCATCTATCAGTGCCTCCTGCCACCAACCGCCCCCCCACCAAACGCCAAATTATGTTTTTTCTTCGTGTTTCTGCTGATGCCTGTCAAGACACTGCACTCAGTCTTCATGGCCAGCCTAAAGTCACCTCCCCTATAAAGCCTGCCCTGATCACCCACTACCTCTGGACTTAACAATTATGGCAGAGTCTCAAGTTGGTAACTTGACCCTCTGGGGCAACCTCAAATCTGCTAGGACAACCACATCTCACTTTTTCTGGAGCCCCAGCAGCCATGCAGGAATCTGGCACAAAGTTCAAAACACAACAATAACAGCTACTATTTGTTGAGCCTTTGCCATGTGCCAGGCACAGGGCTCAATACTGTGCACACACTGTCTCATTTATTCTCACAATAACCTATCTTAAAGGTGAGGAAATTGAGGCTTGGAGCACTGAGCACCTCATAGGACACCTCACACAGCTATTCAGTGGCAGGGCAGGGACTTATGAAGCCAGGTGGTCTTACTCCAGAGTTCATTCTAATCATGATACATACTCTCCTACCAAATGAATGAGAAAATTCAGTAATGGCCTAAATATTTTAGCCCAAAGGAGCAATCAGGTAAACTTTAAGAAGCTGCTTGGAAGCCTAATCCTGCATGTTGCTGGGATTCTCACTCCACTTCCCAATTAATACAATAAGACGTGGCTGCCTATGCCTAAGGCCTGTCAAAGGTAGGGAGAACGATGTTATGTGTAGTATGGGACAGAGGTAAGAGACAGAAAATCTCCATGCAGGCAAGAATTTTGATCCACAGTTCGTGACAATGAAAGGCATCTGTCCACAACTGGATGGAGCAGAATGAGCATTCAGGAGGAAAGAGGCATCTCTGGGGACTCAGAAAAGGTAAACAGAAGAGTTTAGAGAGCAGGAAGGATGGAAGTGGACCAACAGTGATGGCCAGGATTTTGAGGCTGAACAGAGAGCACTCCAGATCGGGGGGAAAGAGCATAGCAGACAGGCAGAAAAGTGAGTAGACAGGCACACAAAGGTAGGTCCAAAGCTCAAATGCATCCAGGGTCAGAGAGGTGAAAAAAATGTGTAAGGGAAAGTCTGGGAAAGAGTGGTGAGGCCTGATGACTAGAATCCCTGGCCTTACAAAGGGCCCAACCACAAACTTCCAGCTGTAGCTGGAGGACAAGTTTCACCAAGGCCTTGCAGCCTTGGATTTTTCTATTCTAAAAAGAAATCAGCAAACTGGATTTTTGTTTGTTTGTTTGTTTGTTTTAATTTCCCAATTTCTAAAATGCTAGAGAACAAACAAAACTGCCCACAGACCACACCTCTGCAGCCTCTGCTACAGGGAGTAAGGAAAGATCCAGTTGGAGAGAAGACTGGAGGAGGCCTGACTGGTGGGCAGAGCTGACAGCCACAGGAGTTTAAGAAGCAGAAGTCTCTGGAACCAGCAGGGGTCAATGAAGAAGAGAGAGGACCAATGAGCTGGAAAGAGGCAACTCAACCTTCTGGCTTTGAGCAGGTGACAGGAAAGCCCGGGAGACACTTTGCAACCACCCAGATCATAGGCTCTAGGGAGGAGGCTCAGGAATCTGTTGTCCTAATGTTGCCACAGGTGATTCTTACCACAGAGGAAAAGTTGGAGCTATTCAAGTACAGATGATAGGCAATGTCCTCAAAGTGTTTGGTAGCAGGAAAGAACGAACAACTGAAAAAAATATTTGTCTACAAAGGGGCCAGAAGTTATAGTTACTAGGCATGGGTAGAGGTGCTGAAAAGGAAATGAACCAAATGTTCGTTGAAAATGAAAAAAGGTTACCAGCCTCCATGACCAAACAGTGGCACCTAGAAGAGAGAGAGATGGGCAAGGGCAGTAGAGCTAATGGGCTCCCAGATGCATACTGGAGAGGTAGACACTACAGTTCCATACAGGTACACCTTGCTTTACACAAACCTAAGGTATGAAAATCCAAGTTTATTAAGACAGATTGGGGGTGTGAGTCTATTTTACAAAAGGACTCTCACGACAATCCTTTAAAGCAGTGGTCCTCTGTGTTGGCACCACCTGGGAGCTTTTAGAAGTTGCAAAACACTGGGGAGAAAGAAAGTGGCATGGGGCTGGGGCTATAGCTCAGTGGTTGAGTACTTGCCTAGCATGCGTGAGGCACTGGGTTGGATTCTTAGCACCACATATAAATAAATAAATTTAAAAGATTCATCGACAACTAAAAAAATCTTTTTAAAAAGAGAGAGAGAGAGAGTGGAATGTCACCAGCATACCTCCTGATTGGCTGATGGTGATGGGGAAAATAATAGAACATACAACACTGACTTAAGATGAAATGATGTGGGCACAGTAGTACAAATGCAATCCCAGCAGCTCGGGAGGCAGAGGCAGGAGGGTCACAAGTTCAAAGCCATCCTCAGCAACTTAATGAGGCCCTAGGCAACTTAGCAAGATCCTATCGCAAAATAAAAAACAAAAAGGGTGGAGATGTAGCTCAGAGGTTAAGCACCTCCAGGTTCAATTCCCAGTACCAAAAAAAAAAAACAGAAAGAAAGAAAGAAAAAGAAAAGATTAAATGAGTTATATTAGAGACAGCACAGGACAGGGCCAGGCAAGTAGTAAGTGCTATTAATGTTGTAGAAGTGTTATATACTATATTATTATTACCAACCAAATGTCCCTCTCTACTGCTCACCAATCTGCTTTGGAAAGCCTGCATTTCCTGAATGGCTGGGAAGGGAGAAGTGGTTGGTTCTGACCCATCCCTCTATTCTCCATATCATCATCTCCTAGGCTGAGCCATCTTCTTGGCAAATACCAACCAACAATCATTTCACATCATATCTATGTTTATATCCAGTCTTTTTAGAGCTGTATCCTTTTTCTTTCCCCACTTTTTTTTTTTTTTTTTTAGTTTTCGGTGGACACAACATCTTCATTTTACTTTTTATGTGGTGCTGAGGATTGAACCTAGCGCCCCGTGCATGCCAGGCAAGCGCGCTACCGCTTGAGCCACATCCCCAGCCCTTTTCCCCACTCTTCTGATGCTATCTTTGAGAGGAGCAGGGAAACAAAAAGGTAAACTGAGAGACTGAGGCTCATACCTTGAAATAGCAAGTATGTACATAAAGGAAAACTTTATTAGACTGGAATAAATCTAATTGCTCTCATTTTCTCACTACCCAGTAGGAAAAGAAATGAAAATCATCAAATTAGCTAACAGGAAAATTTAAAAACTACATATTCTTTGCAAACAAACAAAAAAGTCCCAATGACTGGGCTGCACCTCAGATCAATTAAACTGTAATCTCTAATGATGGGACCCAGACAACAAAGCTTTTCAGGTGATTTGAAGGTCAGCCAAGGTTGGGAACCTTAAAAAGAATGATCCCCCCCCCCCCAGGAAATGTCAATATTCAATTTCTAATCTGGAAATAAGCATCAGAGGCCTTCCTCAGAAACTCTGTTAGCCTTTGAACCAACAATTTCACTTCTTAGAATTTACCTCAAGAAAATAACAAGGAATATAAACAATGATTAATATAGAAGGATATTTATCATGGCATTTTTTTGTAAAAGTAAATTCTAAAAACTGTGAAGGAAGCATGTACAAGTTCTTGGGTTTGGTCCCCAACACCATGAAAAAAAAAAAAAAAAATTGTGACAAAACCCAGAGGAAGAACTCCTAACTGCTAAGGGTGGGGGCATGGAAAAAGGATATATTTCAGCTTCTCAAAACAAATAAACAAACAAAAAAAAAAACACAACAGGAGTTTGCCTGGACAATGAGGGGGTGACATCAATAGGAGTTAAGTCAGAGAGGAGCTAAACAAGTTTTAACGCAGACAGTGGAAAATCATTTGTCTAGAGAGTGCAAGCCAGAGATTAGAAAGAAAAAATAGTATGTACCCTTACTCCTTCAAGACCAGGAGACTTTTTTTTTTTTTTTTAAAGATAACAGCACTGGCAGTGATGATGAGTGACACCTTCTGGGCATTAGAGTTTTATTTTATTTTTAGAGAAAGAGAGAGAATTTTTTTTAATATTTATTTTTTAGTTATCAGTGGACACAACATCTTTGTTTGTATGTGGTGCTGAGGATCGAACCTGGGCCGCACACATGCCAGGCGAGCGCGCTACTACTTGAGCCACATCCTCAGCCCACCAGGAGACCTTATTAGAGCAACATGGCCCCAAAATGGAAGTTGGGAATAGGGTAAGCCAGATACACTGCTTTCCAGATTTTGTTATATGTGCATGAAGTGCCCCCAGGATCTTACTAAAATGCAGATCCTGGGGCTGGAGGTGTGGCTCAGTTGTAGGACACACACCTAGCATTCCTGAGAACCTGGGTTCAATTCCTGGCACTGAAAAACCAAAAACAAAAGTTCACCTTTGAGTCAGATACAGGTTCGAATGTCAAATTCTCCGGATCATTTCAATAACACATGTGACATGTGGCAAAAAAACGAAACCTCAAGGCCCATGCCCCCAGAGGTGATGCCTTTTTTTAGGAAACAGCCGATTGCAGCCATGCCTACAGACTCCCAAGAATCTGCAGCATGAGCTATTCTCCCAACAATGGTGCCCAGTAAGGAAGATAGTAACAGAACTGGATGGTTAGAGTCTGCCAGTGGCTCTAGAGAAAAAGGGTGACTGAATGGGACTGGCACAATGAGGGACAATCTGTCCCTATAAAGGAGGCAACTGAGACTACTTAAGTTGCTGATGGTGTCTTGAGGATTTATAGAAATGGGGGAAAGGTATGTCCCAAACGGAGAGCAACTGATACCTTTGAAGAGGGGAGTGGAATAGGGTAAGCTCTATCAGGGGCACTTGTACTTTACTGGTATCATTTGGAATTTTTTTGTTTTTAAGGTACTTAGGATTAAACCCAGGGGTGCACCACTGAACCAAACCCCCGCCCCTTTTTATTTTCCGACAGTATATTGCTAAATTGCCCAGGCTGGCCTCTCACTTGTAATCCTTCTGCCTTGGCCTCCTGATTAGCTAGGATTAATATCATGTGCCACTATGCCCGGTCATTTGTATTTTTTATAATGAGAATATATTCAAACACTACTCACACAGTTAATATTTTTTGGTATGGTACTGGGGATCTAACCCATAAAAATAAAATTTTAAACAGCATGAACAAATCAAACCAACACACAGCTTCCTCTACAAGTATCCTACAATAAACCCAATTTGATTTGCCAAGTAGACCTTCAGCAGAAGACAATATGTTTGAGCATTCTAGCCTATTTGGAGGTATGTTTCTTGATGATATGCAACTAAATTGTGGGGCATCATCTCCAGTGAGTTTGGTCCCTCTAATCTTAACCTCTCCCCCACACCACCTAAACAGGTTTCCCTCTCACCCTGCCACCACACGGCTCTTTCAGAAATGCACCTTGCCAATGGACCTCAACAATGCTCTGCCCTCCCAAGAACAACAATCTACACAGGCAGTGTAGATTTTTGCATTTATATTCACAAATTATAACACCGACCTATAATTTTCTTTCCTAGTATCATCCTTAACAGATTTTGTATCTAGACTATTTTTCAAAAAAGCTAGTCTCTTTTTCAATACTTTGGGAAGATAGGTATAGAACTGGAAATGCTTATTCCCTCAGTGATTGGTAGAACTCACCAATGAAGCCAACTAGGCCCCAGAGTTTTCTTTGAGGGAAAATCTTTGACTACTAATTCAATGCCTTTAATAATTACAGGCCATTTTATTTTTTATCAAATCATCTGATGAGTTGTACCTTTCTAGGAAACTCCAAAGATTTGGACTACAAAGATAACTGATAAATGGAATGCTGATCCTAAGGTGAACTCTGCAAGAAATTAAATACCCTGTGACTCATCAGAAAAATAACAGCTCACATGTGCACTATGTGTTACAGTTTATAAATGTACTGCCCACATATTACTTCATCTTAAGATAAAAGTCTGGGTGGCTTTGGGGACTTTGGATGTCTAATTATTTGCAAAGGGATGGGTAACTTCCTATTTATCAGAACAGCTGATTCAGATCAACAGCCCATTGCTAGTCAGGCTAACAAATTTTGTGGAGGGCTATGCAACTATTAAATTTCTCACTTAACTCCTTATGGATCACTTGTCATTAACACGAGGAAGCAGTCATCAAGTGATTGGGAGTGTGTCAAAGGGTGTTAGGAGTGTTTTTGGCTGGTGGAAACCTTCCCTCGGGCCAGGCTGGGAATAGAAAGTCTACGGGTGGCATGTGTACTAACACAGGTGGAGTCGCCACTGCCTTGGTGCACAGGCCACTTGGCCCAGTACGCAGTGGGCAGCGCCCGGACAGAGCACACTCACCAGGGCCTCGAAGTCCTTACAGTTGTGGCGAGCATAGGAGGCGGGGAAGGGCCGCAGCACCGAATCGCGCTTGTAGCTCTGCAGCGCAGAGGCGAAGAAGCTGCACCGGAGGTCCGCGGCCAGCACGTCGCGGCCGGCCGCCTCCTTGGCCGCCGCCCTGCAGGGCTGCATCCCAGGTCGCGGCGCGTTGCCGGGGGAAACACGCAGGTCAGAGGCGAAGGCCCAGCCTGCGGTCAGCAAAAGACCGGAGCGCGGGGACAACGGGCCGTCGGGGGCCGGGATTCCCAGGCCTGAGGAGCAGCTAGGCAGAGAGGCGAGATGACAGGGGTGAGAACGTGCTGACGAGCGTCCTCTACGGGGCGCTTGCTGCAGAGCAGACAGGACGGCTGAGGAAAGACCCAGCTGAAACCAGCTCAGCACCAGGGATAATGGGGCCGGGGATCCCAGGCCCGGGGAGGGGCTATGACAGTGATGAAATGACAACGGCGGGAACGCGCCGACACGTGTTATCCGCAGGGGCTGACCTAGCGGGGACAGCCCCCGGGGGTCGACGGGCAGAGACGGGGAGCCGCGCGTGTCTCCCAGCCTTGCCTCGCCCCGCGCCGCTGAAGCCCGGCTGCTCGCCCAGCTGCCCGCGGCGCCGCCTGCGCTCGCCCAGCAGCGCACGCCGCTCTCCGTGCCCGCCCTCCCTATGGGCTCCGGCGCCCGGGCCTACCTCCCCTCCCCGCCGCCGCGCTCCCACGCTGCTCCGCGTTCCTCCCAGCTCAGCCGAGGGCCCGCCCCTTCCCGCGCCAGTCCCTCCTCCGCGCAGGTTGTGCCCGCCCACTCCGACCCGGAGCGTCGCGGTTAACAGGGGCGCGGCCGCCGGAGTGTGACGGGCGAAGTCGTCCAAGCAGCTGCGAGCCGTCTTCACTGCAGCCCCTAGTAGGAACTGACCCCAGGCTAGCTCTTGACCCGCCCCAGGACTTGACTTTGTCCGAGTTTAGCAGGCTGAGCCTGCCGGTCTCACCTTGGGGAACTCTTATTTCCTGCTGTGTCCCTCTTGGGTTATTTGCCTCCAAAACGGACTGGCTGCACAAAAAGATCCATTTACACCCAGAGAAACGGAGGCTCAGAGTAGTGCAATAAAATGACATAGCCAGGGGTTGGGGTTGTGGCTCAATGATAGAGCGCTTGCTTGACATGTGTGGCACTGGGTTCGATTCTCAGCACCGCATGTAAATAAATAAATTAAAAAATAATTAAAAGATCCATCGACAACTAAAATATATATATTTTTAAATGCCATAGACAGACCAAAAGACCTTCCACTGCCTTTCAGCCTCCAGAATTCTCTGGATTGCTTGTGTCTGGCCTCATATGCCCCAAGATCCTTCTTTGGAGGGCTCTCTGACAGGGAGTCTGGGGAAAGAAGAAATGAAAGCAGAGGAAAACAGTAAACTAACCCTACAGAAAGGAGAAGAGGAGACTCCCTTTCCCTGCTCAGAACCTCATTAGTGAAAACACCAGTTTGTCATCGTGGTCAAGTGGAAATTTTAACACAAGACATTGCTGGATTCCTAGATCAAAAAAAAAAAAGACCTATAACTCCCCGCACTCACAACAACCTTTACAGGATCCTCTAAGTGAGAAATTTCCCCTCTTTGGCAGCCAGGTCTGAGGTCAAAGAAGAGATGGTCCATGCCATTCCATGACTTTAGGAAGCAGAATGGGACCAGACTCCTAAATACCACAGTGCTGGGACCAGACAGTAGGAAGAGGCTACTCCCAGAAGTCAACATCACATCTTGAAAAACCAGCCTCTACCTCAGAGCAAAGCCTGTCCAAGGAAGGGGACGTGACCCTTGTCCTTGGAAAGACCCACAGAGCACTCCTAGGCAAATTCCTACCCTGCTGAGCTGTTTATCTACAAATAACAGGAAAGATCTTTGGAGCCAGGTGTCCCTGACTCAGGCTAGGTGAGGACCCATACCAACCCCTAGCAACCACCAATCAGCATGAGACAGGAAAATACCTGGGATGCCAGATGACCCTCCTAGGAGTATATGGTGGTTGATAACATGTTGGGAAACCATGTAGTTCAACACGTACTCCCCTCGTGGCTTAAACTAATCAGTTCGAACGAATCCCCCTCTTGTACTACCAATCACCCTTACCCAACTTGTTCCCAACAGTGAATGTGCTTGAAAAACCAGCCTCTACCTCAGAGCAAAGCCTGTCCGAGGAAGGGACATGGCTTTGTCCTTGGAAAGACCCACAGAGCACCCCAGGCACATTCCCACCCTACTAAGTTGTTTATCTACAAATAACAGGAGAGATCTGCTGCAACAGGTGTCCCTGACTCAGTCAGGCTAGGTGGGGACCCATAGCAACCCCCTAGCAGCCACCAATCAGCATGAGACAGGGAAATACCTGGGATGCCAGATGACCCTCCAGTAGTTTATGGTGTTGGGAAACAACGTAGTTCAGCACGAACACCCCTCTTGGCTTAAACCAATCAGTTCAAATGAATCCCCCTCTTGTAGTAACCAATCACCCCTACCCAACTTGTTCCCGCCAGTGAATGTGCTAATCATGTTTTAGAGTTGTTATTTGATTTTCCCTCGGTGTGTGATGATTTGCTAGGAGATACTATGATGTATGTGGGGGTCCCTCCAAAGAATGTATAAAACTGCTGCAAACCCTGGGCTCGGGGCCTCTCAGCATCACCAGTTGCTGTGTGTGCGCAGAAAACTGAACTAGCTCGCAATAAACACCTCTTTGCTGCTTACATCGATCTTGGTCTCTGATGGTCATTTGGGGGTCCCGAATTCGAGCATAACAATCTCTGGTTGTTGTGAGGCCCGGACTGTTGAGAACTACCAAAAGGTGTCTGAGAGCCTTATTGTTAGGTGGGAGCTCAGAGACACCAAGATGGCGCGGAGGCAGAGTGTAAGAAGCATTCGCTGAGGACAAGACAGACTAATTGTGTTCCTGTTTAGGATAAGTCCCATTACCGTGACAATTCCTGCCACTGAGAACTTATCACCATGGCAACTCCCACCACAAGTTCAGAATTTTAAAATGACCAATGGGGGTAAAATGGGCAGTATCCTAATTAGGTTTTCTGAAGTAACCAATGGAGAGACGGATTGGAAAATATTCTAATCAGGTATCATAAGATCACCGGTGGGAAAAAAAATGGGTTAAGGTCCTCAATCAGGTCCGTTTAGGGAAGCTACTGCTTCACAGCTCAGCATATAAAATACTAATTTCCAGAGCACGGCTAGGCCCTCTCTCTTCCTCAGCCTACTCCCCTCCACCTTGCAGAGGGCTACTTTCACCTTTGCCTTCAATAAATCTGTACTTTGCCTATTACTTGTGTGTCTTGCTCAATTCTTTGTACGGAACACCAAGGACCTGGACTTTGACTGGCCATCCTAATAGTAACATTATGACCTCAAAAAGGGCAACTAGTGCCCAAAAGTCCTGGAGATCTCATGGAACCCAGGAACTCTAAGGTTACCGGAGCCGCTGGGCAGAAGACACGAGAACTCTCTATCATTCCACTTCTTCACTTGTAAACATAAGACAAAAACACTTCTTGTTATCTCCTTAACCTCAAATATTGTTGGTTACATGAATATATGAAATTTGTTTCTCTGAATAGATTTTCTCACACTTGAAATGAGAATCAAGTGACAATACCATGTCCCAGAGGATGTGGAAGGGCCTCTGAGGAGATCTAGAGAGCAACCTAGAATATCTAGTTGCATATCACTCTGGGTTTATTTGTAGTGTGTGTGTGTGTGTGTGTGTGTGTGTGTGTGTGAGATTAGGAATCCATGCATGCTGGGAAAATGCTCTTCCACTGGGCTATGCTACTAGCCCTAAATTTTAAAAATATTATTTTCTTGGTAATTGCATTAGAGCTTACCATATACATGTTATCAGAGTCAGCTTCAGATTTATACTAATTTAATTCCAGTCCTATAGCACTCTATTCCCTGCCCCCTCTTCTTTATTTTTTTATTTTTTGTACTGATGATTAACCCCTGGGGTTCTTATGCTGCTGAGCTACATCCAGTTCTTCTTTTTTTTTTTCTTATTAGAAAGGGTCTCACTTAGTTGCTGAAGTTCTCACTGAATAGTTGAGGCTGGCCTTGAACTTTCAATCCTCTTGCCTCAGCCTCCTGTGTCTCTGGGATTACAGGTGTATGCCACTGTACCCTGTTCCTCCCCACTCTTTTTTCAAACCTGGTGCCATGGAGCACACCTGTAATTCCAGTGGCTTGGGAAGTAGAGGCAGGAGGATTTTGAGTTCAAAGCCAGCCTCAGCAATTTAGCAAGTTCTAAGCAACTCAGTGAAATTCTGTCTCTACTAAAATACAAAATAAGGCTAGGGATGTGGCTCAGTGGTCAAGTGCCCCTGAGTTCAATCCCGGTACCCCCTTCAAAAAAAAGATCTTTTTTGATATGGACACAATATCTTTATTGACTTTCATGTGGTGCCCACATGTGCAAGGCAAGCACTCTGCCGCTGAGCTACAACCCCAGCCCCTACTTTCCCCACTTTGTAGCACTATTGTTATACAGATTATGTCCATAAATGTTACCAATCCAACAACACATTATTACTTCATATAATTTTATTTCTTTTAATGAAACTGAAGAAGAGCAAGTATATATTTACCATTTTGTTATATTAATCCTATTTATTTTGGGAGGGGGGTACTAGGGTTGAATTCAAGGGCACTTAACCACTAAGCCACATCCCTGACCCTATTTTATTTAGAGACAGGGTCTACCTGCTGAGTTGCTTAGGGCTTCATAAAGATGCTTAGGCTGGCTTTGAACTCATGATCCTCCTGCCTCAGAGTCACTAGGATTACAGGCGTGCACCAACATGACCATCTCGTTTGCTATTTTTTAGTGCTGGATGTTGTACTACACAGGGTGTTGTTCATGCTAAGCATTCACACTACTACTCAATTACATCTTGAGCCCCTACTTGTTGTTTTATACAATTGGTTTTTAAATTAGTTAAAAGAAGAAAGGAGGAAGCTGGGGTGTAGCTCAATGGTAGAGTGTTTGCCTAACATGAGCCAGACCCTGAATTTGATGCCCTTCATTGCAAAAGAGGAAAAGAGGAAGGAGAACAAATGTAAGTTAATATTGACATACAATTTATATAATTACCTTTAGTGATGCTTTTTTTTTTTAAGTAGACTCAGACTACCATCTGAGGTCACTTGCTTTTGTTTTTAACCTGATGAACTTCCTTGCTGTTTCTTTTTTCTTTTGCTGGGGATTGAACCCAGGGATTCTCAAATATTAGGCAAGTGCTATATCATTGATCTACACCCCCAGCCATTTTAGTATTTCTTGAATGGTGGCTCTTGGTTTTGTTGATCTGAAAATTCTCTTCATTTCTGAAAAAGAGATCTGCTGAATATACAATTCTGGTTGGCAGGGTTTTTTTCTTGGGGGGTGGAGGGTTCTTTGAGTACTGCTAGTATGTGATGCCACCACCCTCTGGCCTTCATTGTTTCTGCTGTCAATTTCATCTGGCTGCTTTTTTTTTTAATACCAGGGATTGAACCCAGGGGCACGTAATCACTGAGCCACATTCCAGCTCCCTCACCTTTTTTTTTTTTT